GAAAGAAAGAAAGAAAGAAAGAAAGAAAGAAAGAAAGAAAGAAAGAAAGAAAGGAAGGAAGGAAGGAAGAAAGGAAGGAAATAAATAATAATGAAGAATTGGTCTAAGTTGCATTCATGCTTAAAAGATGTATAGGCATGAAAATAAGAAGTCTGGGCCTGGAGAGATGGCTCAGTGGTTAATAGTACTGACTGCTCTTCCAGAGGACCTGGGTTAAATTTCCAGCACCCACATGGCAGCTCACTGTCTGTAACTCTAGTTCCAGAGGCTCTAACATACATATAGGCAAAATACCAATGCACATACAATAAAAAATAACTAATTTTTTTAAAAAGGAAAGAAAATAAGGAGTTCAAGGCCAGCTTTAGCTACACAGCAAGTTAAAGACTAGCAGTCTTGTCTCAAAACAAGTAAACACAAACAATAATTTGGCTATAGACAAACACATCTGTAATCTCAGCACTAGAGAGAGTAAATTTGAATTGCTACAGGTTGAAGACCAGTCTGGTCTACATATCAAGCTCTAGGTTCATAAGGAGACCAGACACAACAAACAAAAAAGCAGCAAAGAACAAAAGAAAAGAGAGTAGGAATTCTCCACATCTCTCAAATGTACATGCTCTCTTTAACACTATTAAAATCACCTAAATCTGAGAGAGTTCCAATCTATTCTAGTGTGAGATACACTGATATTTTTTGGTGGCCATTTGTTGTCATTGGGTTTGTTTTGTTGTTTGGTTGGTTTGGGTTGGGTTGGATTTTTTTTTTTTTTTTTTTTTTTAGTTTTGTTGTTCTTTAATTTTATTTATTATGTACTTTTTTATGTATGAGTGCTCTGTCTACATGTTTACCTGCATGCCAGAAGAGGGCATCAGATCCCAGTATAGATGGTTGTGAGCCACCACATAGTTACTGGAAATTGAACTCAGGACCTCTGGAAGAACAGCCAGCGCTCTTGAGTGCTGAGCCATCTATCCAGCCCCTATTTAGTTGTTTTTGAAACAAGGTCTAGACATGTGTTTCAGGCTAGTCTCAGTTTCTAAAACTACCTGTCTCAGCCTTCCACATAATGGCTTTGTTGGCATGCCTCACTAGGATGCTGTTTTCTCAGGACACAACTACTCCCTTTGAGAAAGGGACCCTGTTACCCCCATTTTGCAAAGGAACATGTGATGGTTATTCATTTTGTCTTTTTATCTGGAAAGAACCAAAATCCAGAAATGAAGGGCATCCCTGTGATCTGGATTTTGAGACTGGAAAACACAGGTTTTTGATTCAGACCATGAGGTGGGATGAGAGACATATCCTTTTAATCCGAATCTTGAGGCACACCCTTAATCTGGGCCATACTTTCTGCCAGAAGCCTGAATAAGGGCATTCACTTTGCAAGCATTTTCATTGGAGCTGACTTCTTTGGGATTCCAGCTTATACAGAAGATCAGCCGAAGCACATGGCCTGAGCAGGAACTGAGCAATTATTACTTTCTTGGACTCTCTATTTACAGGTGTCCATTGTCAGATGAGTTGGACTGCAGCCTATAAGCCATTCCAATAAGTTCCTGAACTAATTCAAATGAGGAGTCCTCTTACAATGTTAGACCACATGCTGGGTCCCAGGGTTCCTAAGGGAAGGATGGACTCTGTAGTCTGTGCTTCTAACCACAATCCCCACTACCTCTCTGTGCCCAGAATCTCCGCCCATAGCCACCTCAGCCTCCACTTTGCCTGCCCATCCACAGAGCCATGTCAACTTTTTCTTCTTTGTAGTTGAGAGATCCTTGTGAAATGCCCACCTATCCTAATGTTTGATCTATCCTCACCTACACCTTGAGTTTGTCTGTCTTTTTTTTTTTTTTTTACTGTTTCCACAAATACCACTATACCACTATTCCTTTGTTTTATTTTGTTTTTAACTCTTCTGAATCGACTCTGGATTGCTAGAATATATGTATGCGAATGGTCATCAACCATAACATGTGTTGCCTCTCAAGGGCTGCATACTCAAAGAAAACTGACTCTCCCACTCCCAGGAACAATCAGTTGCCAACTGCTCCTCAACTAAGGGTGGGATTTTGTGACCACCTACCTCATCCAAGCTGAGATTTTTGACCAGCTTGATCTTTAGCAGGTCTCAAGCATCCTGTCAGAATCATTGAGTCCATATGTACAACTGTCTTATTGTGCCCAGAAAATATTGTTTTATTGTAATCATCCACCCTATCTGGCTCTTATATTCTTTCTGACCAAGTCTTCCTTTATGATCTTGGAAACTT